CTCTGTCATCCTGTCATCCTGTAGTCGTGTTGGAGTCGGGGCATCTCACTGTGACTTGTGTTTATCTTTCCATGACGACTAATGAAGATGAGCATAGTTTCTGACCATTTGAATATCTTCTTTCGTGTTCCAACCTTGGCTATTTTTTCTGTTGAGTTGATCTTTTTCTTACAAATGTACAGTTCTTTGTGTATCTTGGACATTAGACCATGATGGTCATATGTATTGTGATGATCTTTTCCTATACCATCTTAATAGTGGTTTGATGAACAGAAGTACCATAATGCCTTCACCACCAACTCGCCCCTGCTTACCACCACAGACCATTATGCCTCCCTCCCTTCCCTTTCTTTCCTCTCCCCCAACCTCTTGGTGTCTCAGTTCTGCAGTCAACTATCAGGGGTCCATTTTTAAACTTGTCTCTGTCTGACAATTAGTTTAACTATTTTATATTCCACATATTAATGACACCATCCAGTATTTACCTTTACCCCTCTGACTTATTTCACTTAGCATGACCCCTTCCAGCTCCACCCATGTTGCTACAAATGGTAGGAATTTATCTTTTTCATCACTGAGTAATATTCCATTGTGTATATTTTTCCATTTCTATTTCTATTTTATACCACAGCTTCTTGATCCACTCATCTGTTTTTGGGCACTTCAGTTATTTCTATAGTTTAGCTATATCAAACAGTGCTAAGGCATGTCTATTAGATGAATGCATTCTCTGGGAATGTCTAAACTTTTGAGAACCAGGTTTGCTCAATGTAGAATTCTTGCTTCATAGTCTGTCCACCAGCAACGTATGGGCTATGTCAACACACTGGCTTCCAACCTCGAGTGATCTAAGGTGGAAGCTTTAATTCGGTTCTAACCTCTCAAGTAGCTACAAGGCTACTAGTTTCAAAAACCACCCAGGCTGTGAGACTTCTGATTTTTAAGCCAACTGCAGTGCTGTGGAGGGAATCTAGGAATAGGGCAAGTTAGAGTGCTATAAAACTCACTTTTTTTTTAAAGACTTTTTTTTTTTTATAAAAGAACCAGGGTACAGGCCAGATGCGCAGAAGGGTGAGAAGATTCACCGGAGACAGAGCGGGGAACAGAACAGTCAAACTGAAGAAATACACTGCTGAGGGGAGCAGTGGGCGAGACAGGAGAGGTCTGCCGCACCCTGTGGGATTCTCGCTGGCCAACCGGGATGGAACCTGCGCTGCAGAGGCTGTGGACAGCTTCACAATGCAGTGCTCAACTGTCTGCACCACCAGGGAGGCACAAAACCCACTTTTTTTTTTTCAGAGATTCAAGCTTTCCTCTTGGATAAAACTCCTTCGTTACTGCAAGCTGTTAATTTCCAAAGTTCTGAAAATGTTGATTTTTTTTTAATTTATTTTTTATTTTTTCTTGTGATTGTTGCCAGTGTCCTCATTTCTGTCATGGAAGGGTGGCTATTTGAAAATCATTCCTCCACCATATTGGGACTTGCAGATCTCTCGCCTGTATTTTAATTCCATAAATACCTTAAAGACCAAGAGACATTGGCATTGTTGTTTCATCTACCCAGTTTTCATTTATATTAACTATATGCTTACTTTTCTGCTGCTCATCATCTTTCTTACATGATCGTGCCTCTACTTTTAATCATTTTTCTTCTACTTAATCTCCTTTTGTATTTTTTATTCCCTTCTGTAGAATGCAATATTTTCTGCTTTTGTGTGACTGAAAACATTTTCATTTTATCTTCATTTTTGAAAGGTATTTCCCCCAGAAATCTAAATTCAAGTAAAAATTTGGTAGTCTGTCATTTGGTTGATAGTAGGAAATTTTGTGGAACCTCAGTAGAGCTCCTGAGACATTCCACAAGATTTCTCCCTTTCCTCTTGGGAAAGGTGTTAAATGAATTTGTCCTATTTGGCTTACCTAGTAAAGTAAAACTAGAAGGGAAGCATTGTCGCTTGGGAAAAGGGTAACACTTTGACATGTACAGAAATGTTCACATTGATTTTCTAAAATATGTATACAAACTCTTAATACCGGATATGTATGTAAATTGTCAGTGGTGATTGTTGCCTTGCAATATGGTATAGTACAGAAATTGTTTCTGGAGAAAATAGGGAGAAAAGGCCTCAACAGATTCCTACTGATAGAACTGTTGAGAGTAAAAATTTCCTACAAAGAACTGAATAGACCTGGAAATACACCTGATTTTTACTAAGTTTTCTTTGACATAATACTGGTAATTTTTTTTTGCATTTTGTTCTAAATTCATAAATTTTCTTGTTTTGAGTGACCAGGATCTGCAGCAATGTTATATTTTTTTCCCAGCAAAGCTAACTTGTGTTCACATTTTCTCTCCCCTTGATACCTACACAACGTGAAAATAGGGGTAGTATTTTTTTTACTACTTATCTCAGAGTCTATTTTTGTATAACTTCCATAGGGATTTTGTCTGCTTAAACTAAAACAATTGGACATGAGTGTCATTGTCCAATGACACTTTGAATGGAATCTTCCAGGAAGTTGAAACAGAGCTGAACCAAGAAGAGGAGAACCTGTTGCTTTGTACATTGGTTCCAGAGAACTCCAAGGGAGGTGAGGAAGCTGCCTCCGTGGGCAGGACTGGACAACGTGGAAAAGGAAAAAGCCCTGGTACCCTCGAGAACAGGAAGCCCAGGTGCAGTCTGATGAGACCAACTTTGTTCTTGAAGCCTACATGGACCGGATGTCAAGAGTTTGCTCTGATCCTTTGTGATATGTTCCAACAAAACCAGCTAAAATTGCTGCTTAGTTATTCTGCCCTGTGATTTTATGCAAAAATAGGTGATATGGTTTAATAGTAGATTTGGTTTGCAAACTTTTGCTACACTGTTAAAACAATTTGGGATCAAGGTGGAGAGAACCTGTTTTTTGCATAAGTTGAATCAATCTTAATATTTTTCCTGTGATTTGATATCTTTATATCTTTGCTGTTTTATTTTGGCTGAACCCTCCAGATGGGTTTTTTTTTTTTTCTTTTTCTCTTTTTTTTGGCTTGGATTGATAAACTATTTCCCAGGAATGGAGGATTTTTGCTTTCCACAGTTGGCAATACCTGGAGAGACTTGTTTGCTTTCCAATGGGAACCCTGAGAAAAATTTTCATCTAAGACTGTACCCCAGCATCCATACATTTGATCTTCAACACCATGGAAATGGTGGCAAAAAGTGAAAGGGGAGAATTGTTACAGGGAAAGGATATACTGAGCTAATTCCATGCAGGCTTTGTGGATGCCACCCCCACTCCATCAAGACACTGGGAACTACAAATCCCAGGATCCCCAAAGGGAATTTGCAAGGACCTATGGGCGGAGTTAAGCAGCCATTTTCTCTGTCTGTATATAAAAACTAGTCATGTTAAAAAAAAAAAAGACTCAGCTCTTTTAACAACATTCTACAATAAATATTTCAGAGCGGGGGGGGGGGAAAGGTGTTTCCACTGAAAAACAATTCTGGGGGGGTGGGTGGTGGTTATTTTGTTTGAACTCCAGAAAAATTTTATTGGATCGAGGTCTCAATTAACATCTGTGGAAAATGATCAGCCTTGCTGTTGTCCTTCTGAAAATAGGTATTTTTTTCCTTTGTCCACTTTTAGGAGGGTTTTTTTTGTTGTTGTTATTGTTGATCTTTAGCAATTTTTTTAGGCTGTCACTATATGTGTGTTATGTTTATTCTTGAAATTCATTGAATTTCTAAGACTGAGATTTGATGTCTTTTATCACTTAGTCATAGTGTCTTCAACTATTGCTGCTTCCTCTCTCTCTCATTCTGGAATTCCATGTGTGTTTGGCTTTTTCACCATAGCCCGTATCACTACGGTTTTTTTTTACTGACTTCCAGGGTTTGTGTTTAAGAAATCCTAGCAATAATCCGAGGCATTTACGATGTTCCTTTCCTCCAGAGAAGGTTCACCTTTCCCTCTGGCGGGCAGTGAGTGCAGAGGACCTTAACCAAGTTTGAGCCCAAGTTGGTTTGAAACCAAGTTGTGGTCTTTAGAAGAATCAGATTATTTCTATTTCTCCTTTATTCCTAGGGTGTAGCTCTTCTGGGATGCTAATTAGAGCTCTGGGGTCTTTGCTATGCCTGGGCGAACCCTGAATTCCAACTACTCTTCCCAGTAGTGCAGACCACTGAGAACTCTTCCAAGTCTTCAGGACCAACACTGCCAATGAATCAGCTAAGATCCCAAGGGGAAGACTCTGCACTTTTAGCCTGATGGCACTAAGCCCTAAGGCTAATGCATCAAAGGAGAGCCAGGCGGGCATCATGCCAGCCGCAGTTCAATGCACCATTTTCTCACAGATTTTTAAATTTTAGCAATCTTCAAACAACAAAAATGTTTAAATAAACATTTTATTTTGGATTATTTTTTAACTTTTAAATGTCTTATTTTGGAATATTTTTTAACTTTAAGGTAAGCATCTTCCCTTACCTTAGTACATTGGTCAAAACTAGCAAGTTAGCAGTAATATGATACTACTAACTAATCTACAGCCTTTATTCAGAATCACCAGGTTTTTCATGATATCCTTTTTCTGTTCTAGTCTCTAATCCAGACAGAGCACCACTTTTTTTTTTTTTAAGATTTATTTATTTATGCATACAAGTACTGGGGTAAAGGCCAGAGGTGTGGGGGGTGAGAGGATTCACCAGAGACAGAGTGGGGAACAGAACAGGCAAATCTACTGAAATACACTGCTGAGGGGAGCAGCAGGGCAAGACAGGAGAGGTCTGCTGCACCCTGTGGGTCAGCTCCCTGGCTGGGGATCGAACTCCTGCTGCAGAGGCTGTGGATGGCTTCATAGTACTGCATCTTTACCCCTTGCACCACCAGTGAGGCCCCTTATCAGTCTTTATCACTTGTTTTTTTCACAACTTGGAGTGTCTCAATTTGGGTTTGTTTTCTCATGATCAGACTAGATTACTGTTTTGGGGGAAGATAACTTTGTGATTACCTCATTTCAGGGGTACATGCTGTGGACTGAACGCTTGTGTCCTCACCGCCAACCCCCAATTCAACCATCCGTGAGATGAAATTTGAAGGTGAGGCCTTGGGTAGTATTTAAGTTTCAATGAGGTCATGGGGGTGGAGCCTTCATTTAAGATTAGACATCAGAGATGAGCGCTCTCTCTCTCTCTCTCTCTCTCTCTCTCTCTCTCTCTCTCTCTCTGCCATGTGAGTGCACACAGAGAAGGTGACCATCTATCTGCAAACCAGGAAGGTGATTTGCTATTACCTAGATCTGGGACTTTCAGCTATTGTTTCAGCCACACAGTCATTGGTATTTTGTTAAAGGAGCTTGAACAAAGACTGTACATCCATGACATCAGCATGACTTGTTACTAGCGATAGTAACATTGGTTACTTAGCTCACGGAGTTTGTGTCCATGATAGCTTATTGATTTTCTCCTTTCTGTATGATATTCTTTGGAAATGGGTCTCTAAGAATAACTCACACTCATGAAGAATAAAGCTCCATCAGCCAGAGGGATAAGTATCTACTTAATCTGAAATTCTTTTGTATGAAAGATTTGTCCTTCCAACAGATTTTTCCCTTGTTTTTGTTAAGCCAGTGTTTCTACTTGTTTTTAGAGCCAGTGTTGATCTAATATGGGCTAGTTTGTTGTGACTGAGACAGAAGTCTGCTGCATTTATTTTTAAGAAATATGTATGGGGAAAATAATTAACTGTGATTGTCTCTGGCAGTCGTGGTGAATGGGATGAGAGCTGGCTATGTTTGTGTGGGGTCCACTTTTTATCATCCTAGATCATTGCATTTTTTATAATAAACATGTATTTTATTTTACAAGCAGCAAAAACACAGCTGTTTTATCCATTTTGTAAAAATAGCAGAACTAGACGGGAGCCTTCGTCTTCATTCTAGTGATCTATGGCAGTGTCTCTCAGTGAAGGAAAAAATCGAGTTCAGGCTCTGGATTATATAGCCCTGATTGCCTCTTTTCCTCTCAGCCACACTGTCAGGCTGTTGTGGGTACAAGGGGCTGCACTCTTGGGTCAGTATGCAGAATGCAAGAACCCCAGGGTCTGGGGTTCAAATTCTGAATCCGCCACCTACTGACTGAGTGACCTCGATCACTACTTGGCTCACTGTGTCTACATTCTTGTGAGAACACAGAGGTAAACATCGCAGCTGCCCCTGGGGTGGTTGTACAGAATAAATGAGAGAATGCACCAGTCACACCTCGTGTGGTGCCTGACCCACAAACGCACAAGACAGGAAAACTGTGGCTATTACTGGAACTAAGGAGAGTTCAGAGGGGAGTCAGCTTAGGACTTAGTCACCCTGAAACCTTTTCTTCACGGTACCTCCTTTTAGATTCCTGCTTATTGTCATGGGTTTTTGAGATCTAATTTTATCTATAATTCGGTTGCTAAGCAGTAGTGCAATTTCCCATATTGACTCAGCATTATAAAATATGTAAGTAAAATAATGGAGCTAGGAACAGCTCCAGGTCCAGGGCGCTTGTTTTTCTCTCTTTGTTCTGTAACAGTGGGGATTTTTCCTTCTTTAATCAAACACGCCAGCCAGTCCACACTCCGGCGCTCTCTCATCGTCTGGAATCAGGTCTGCTCCCCTGAGGGCCTGGAGCGGAGCCTAGTACCTGGAGGGTGTCAGCCTTCGTGATTGAGGAGGCTGACGCATGCGAAGTCAGCAGGGGCGCCGGGACAGCTGACGCCCCACGTGTGTATCGCACCGGTGTCAGGGGACCGGAGGAAGAGGCATTTGTTATGGAAAAGCACCGAACACCCTCTGCAGCATGATTACCTGATTAGTTCATAGGGAGCTTGTTTTGTTCCTATTATGGAGACTAATCATGCGTTGTTTGGCTGTGTTAGCCCATCCGGCTCCAATAAAGACATCAGTGACCATGAATAAATGAAATGGTTTGCATTTCCAAGTCGTGGATTAAAATTTTTAATGTTCTATTTTCCCGGTAGCATCTCATTATCCCCAAACACCTCCTTCCCTGTTTGCTGAGTTCTAGTCTCAGGGTTTCATTCAAACAAATACATTTTCAGTCCAAAATGAGAGAAAAGCTGGATACTGACTGGGAGTCCAGAAACCGGGGTTCCTCCCTTGGACTGTGGACAAACTGTGGTGTCCTTGCATTGTGCAAGGGGTTTTATGCACATGGCCTCATTCCCTCCTCTCCCCCACTCAGTGAGGTCACCATTCTTCTGTAGCGTTATTTGACCTGCCTGCTCAGTGATTGGATCTGTTAGTGTGTAGGCCTGTGAGGCACCATGGGATCCCCAAACCTGCATGCTCTAAAGGGGGGAGGTCTACCATCTACCATATAAAGACAAAGCATACTCTTAGTGCGAAATAACTCGAATAGAATTGTTGTGCAGAGAGAAAGATAGTTTTCCAAAGAAACACCCCAAGCTACCCATCCCCTTGTGGGTAAATGCCCAGCCAAATAGGGTTAGCCCAAATTGGGGCTGCTGAAGCCTAAAAGCCTGCCACATGTCTGAGGCACCTTCTGGCAGGGGCCCATAGCAAAGGACAGAAGGGGCAAGTCTGGAAGGACAGGAGCAAAATCAAAATACCAGTCAAGGTAAAGGCTGCCATCTTCAGCTTCCCCACAGGCCTCTCACCCACCTGTCACTCCCAAGTGTCTCTGCCTGTCTCGACTCCATGTGTCTCCTTCCATGTCTCTCCTCTGTGTGTTCTCCAAATGTTCTATTCAAATCTGCTCTAGCTTTCTCTCAACACCCAGCTCTACCCTTCATGGTGGGACAGGGAACATGGAACCACCTCTTTTTACAGACATTCCTCTCTATAACAATTGCCCCTTCTTCATTTTTCTCCCTACTCTTTCTATGTTGGCAAAGACCTACGGGTGCAGCCTTAGGAGACAGCCTTTTCTGGGGTTCCATTGTGTTCAAAATAAATTCTGATCAGTCACTAGATATTGTCCAAGGATGACGAGTGTGGCAAAGTCCTCCATATTTAGAAAGTAGTTGATCAGCCCAAGCCAAAAGAAAAAATCTGGAGACATTAGTCAAACAAAATATCAAACAGAATATCAGAGAAACTCAGAACGAAGAGAAAAACAGGCCAATCTTAAAATGGGTTTTACTTGATTAAAATCATTTTCTCTCCGCAATCATTCCAATTCTATTAAATAGTTCAGAAAAATGCTTTTGTAAACCAAATCCATTTCCAATCTATTTTACCCATTTTTGCATAAACTGACTGGGCAGAATAACCAAGCAGCAGTTTTGTTAGCTTTGTTGGAACACTCCATAAGGGCTTAGCGTGAGCTCTCAACATCAGGCTTCAGGATCGAGGCCATGGTCTTGCCAGACTCCACCTGAAATTTCCTCCTCCAGGTTCCCAGGCTTTTTCTCCAGGGTTTGCCAGGCCTGCCAGTGGAGGCAAGCTTCCCCACTTTCGCTGGAGGTCTCTGGAACCCTACAAGCAAAGTGGCAAGCTCTCTTCTTGGCTCAGCTCAAATTCAACTCCTAGAAGAATTTCAATCAAAGCCATGGAATGAAACATATTTCTACTTTAAGGAGAGACAAATAAAATTCCCTGTTGAAATTGTGCAAAAAATAGACATATTGCCACAAGCTTTAAAAATTATTACCATTTTTTCATATTATGATGAAAATGCAAACACAAATTAGTTCTGCTAACAAAAATGCAATGTCGTGCAGATCCTGGTCAAAGGAAGAAAATTTTTCTTGAGTAGAAAAAACACAGAAAACAGTTACATGTCAAACACAAACTTATCAAAAATCATGTTTATCTACAATAGTCTATTCAGTCCTTTGTAGAAAATTTGCACTTCCAAGTTCCACTAATTGGTATGAGTTGAGGCCTTTCTCCTATGAATTTCTCCAGAAACAATTTCTGCAGAAGTCAGACTTTTAAAATAACCAACAAATTGCCAGGCAACAATAAACAAAACTGACAATTTACTTACCAGACACATAAGCAGTTTCATATAAATTTTAGACCACCGATGTTAATATTTATCTATATACCGAAAATAAACATTTCTCCCATGTGACAAATAGGTTAAATTCTTTCTAATGTCTTTTCCACAAAGAAAGGGAGAGCTCTTATGGCGTGTCTCAGGAGCGCTGAGGTTCCACAAAATTTTCATTTCTCAATCAAATAAAAGACTACAATATTTTTCCAATGTAGATTTCTGGGAAGCTTTGACATAAAGATTACAAAAGCCACATTTAATTGTAATCAAAACTACATCTGAAACTCATTAGTACAATGTTAATGGCCAAACTATAATCTTTTATTTTGATGCCATAACTGGAGTTTCTTTATTGCCTTTCAAAAATACCTTTAATTTTCCAACTCCTACTTTGCCCAACATTAAAAAAAACTTTATATACTCAACATCAATAACCCAGACAGAAGAGAAAAAAATTATATTCAATGCAACTTTATAGGCGTACATATTTTAAAACAGCCCATTAGATTTCAAATTAATTTCCATATCCCTTCTTGGTTGCCAAATACATTTGTGTACAGGCTGATGGGTACCCTGCAGCCCCCAAGCTTGCATGCTCCAAAGGGGTTCTGTCGTCCCTCACATAAAGACAAAGCATACCTTTAGTGTGAAAGAACTTTAATAGGATTAAAGTGCAAAGAGAGAGAAAGGAGATAAAAGATGCTCATTTTCCAATAAAACACCCAAAGTTAGCCATCTCTTCATGGGTAAATGCCCAGCCAAATAGGGTTGGCATAAAGTGGAGCCACTAAGGCCTGAAAACATGCCATGGTCTAAGGCACCTTCTGGCAAGGAACCACAGGAAAGAGGCAGAAGGGGCCAGGCAAGTCTGGGATGAAAGGAGCAAAATTAAAGGGGTTTCCCTGGTGGTGCAGGGGTCAAGATGCAACCTATGAAGCTAGCCGCAGCCTCTGCAACACAAGTTCGATCCCCAGCCAGGGAGATACCCACATGGCGCAGCAGACCTCTCCTGTCTCACCTGCTGCTCTTCTCAGCAGTGTACTTTGGTCGATCTGCCTGTTCTGATCCCCATTCTGTCTCTGGTGAATCCTCTCCCCCCACCCCTCACCTCTGACCTGTACCCCGGTTCTTGTATGCATAAATAAATTTTTTTTAAAAAAGTACAAATCAGGGCCTCCCCAGTGGCGCAGCGGTTGAGCGCTGGGTTGTGAAGCTGCCCACAGCCTCTGCAGCGCCGGTTCGATCCCCGGCTGCTCCCAGGCCACCGGAGGAGGGTCCCACTTGGCGCGCAGACCCCTCCTGCCACCCGCTGCTCCCCTCAGCAGTGTACTTCGGTCCTTCTGCCTGCTCTGCTCCCCGCTCTGGCTCTGGTGAATTCTCTCACCCTCCTGCGCTTCTGACTGTACCCAGTGCTTGTATAAATAAATAAACAAACAAACAAATAAATAAATCTTTAAAAAAAAAAATAAAAAAAAAATAAAAAGTACAAATCAAGGTAATGGCTGCCATTGTCAGCCTCTTCATGTATCTCTCACCCATATCTCTTGCAAATGTCTCTACATATCTCTTCATTATGTGTCTCCTTCCATGTCCCCCAAGTCCCTGGCACAAATCCAAAGCTAAGAAGCATGTACTTTTTCTTCACATGTGTCTCTGCTCCATGTGTCTCCTCCAAGTCTTCTCTTTCAAGTCTCATCTCCTAAGTCCTTTTCAAGTTTCCCCTGACTGCTCAGCTTCAGCTTCAGCTTTCCTTCAGTGAGTGGGGCAGAGAACGCAGTACTGCCCCTTTGTATGGAGATTCCTCTTAGTAACAAATCAAGCAATATCATTTGCCCACTCACTGCACCTCACTGAATGCCCAGTTTCACTAATCTTAGGAATTTACGACAAGTACAAATAGTCATCGTCAACAATTTTCTCTTAAATATGAGATTGTAAACCAAAAGACTGCTTGTTGAGCATAAACACTGTGGGCCCACAACATGGATCTTGCCTAAGCCTCTCTTTTGCTCCTTGTCTCCTCACTACAGGCCTCAGTGAGTAAAGTGCTATTACTCAAAACACTTCTGACATTGTGTGGTGTCTTGTCCAAGCCCACCATTCCACACTCCAACAGCTATATGTCTTCCAATTCCATTCAGTTCTGACTCTCTCTACCTGGAGTTAGCATCAGATTTCACAAATCAAGGGCTCAGTGCCACAAAACCACCCCTGCTTCAGATGCCAGTTGGAAAATCCAATTGTCACCAGCATTTCTGAACAATTGACTATAAATTCAGACACTTCCAAAACCTCCTCTTCCGGTTTGAACAACTCATCAAACTCAGGAAGCATTTTACTTACAATTACTGGTTTCTCATAAAGGATTCAGCTGTGGAGCAGCCAGATAGAAGAGATGCACAGGGCAAGGTATAGGGAAAAGGTATCACCTTATCAGCACCTCCATGTATTTGCCAACTTGGAAACTCTCCAAGCCCCATTTTTTAAGATTTGTGTGAAGGTTCTATTACTTAAACTTGATTGATTAATCATTGGGCCTAGGTGATTAATTCAGTCTGCAGTCATTCTATCCCTAAATTTCCAAGGTGGGGTTGAAAATTCCAACCCTCTGATCATACCTTGGTCATTTTGGTGACTGTTCATGTCATCAGCATACAAAAGACACCGATCATACTTGCTTTAGGAGTTCTGTGCCAGGAATCAGACACAAAGACCAAAGATTTATTTTTTTTATTGAATTACAGCTGGGTGCCCCCAGCCAGTCAGAAAGAGTGGCAGAATCTAGAGCTCTGAAAGTGAGGTGTTTCAGGCAACTTAGGTCCTTGACCCTAGCTGCTGTGTGCTCCTTTATTCACGCCAGTCTTCTAGGAATGTCCCCTGTCTGCTGTGAAAAAACAAAATTCATCCAAGTAAATTTGAAGATCCAGCTGGCCAAGGATTCATGAATCA